GCGTTTGGACAGCAATGATAATAGGACCGAGGCCCAGAAGGGGTGACGGACAAAGCAATATAGAGATGAGCACACCCTCGAGAATGATCGGGAAGCCTGCAGTTAATTTTTTTTCCTGTTTTGGGGGCAGCAGCAGCCCCACACCACATTGCACCACAGACCGGCCCAAGTTACATTCGGTAACTGTCTTAAATAGTAAGAAGGATTTGTGAGGCTGATGGAACAACATAAAAGGTCAAGAAAAGAGAAAAAGACAGACAATCCAAGGAGGCGCGCGTGTATGTGTGTACGTGTTGGGGGCTGACTGACAATTCATCACCTATTATCTTCTTCTATAAGACGGGATGGGGAAGAACATGGAATTTTCCATTTTCTAAGAGGGAGAAGAGGCATTGTGAAGCGACTCGCCCTGCTCACTCAACAAGCCAAAAAGAAACCTCCAGAGGCCTGTTTCCACTCTGACAGCCGGTGGCGGCTCAGGTGCAGACTTGGAGCGGTCTGAGAGCAGAGCAGGGCTCCTGGCTTGCAGCGTCTGCGCTTCCTTCCGCTCCTGACCTGAGGGACCAGAAGATGCCGTCACACCCCCTTTCCCTCTTCTCTGAACATCTGCCCCTGGAAAGCAGGGGAAGAAACACACAAGCAAGGAAGCAGAGTTCTAGGCCGGCTCCCTAGGTCAGCCACACCCCTTGGCCATGGAGAGCAACCACTTTCCTAGTAACAGCAGTGATGAAAAAGTAAAAAAGAATTATGGGTGCAGGTGTTTGCCTTAGCGGTTAAGTCACTGGTGGCCTACACTGGAGTGCCTGGGTTCAGTTCCTGGCCCTGGCTTCTGATCCCAGCTTTTTGCTAAAACACACCCTGGGAGGAAGTAGTGATGGCTCAAGTAGCTGGGGTTTTGCCACCTACATGGGAGACCCGGATGGAGTTTTTGGATCCTGGGTCTGGCTTCAGCCCAGCGCCGGCTGTCACGGGCAGCTGGGGGAGCAAACCAGCAGATGGTAGCTCTCTATCTTCTCAAATAAATTAAAAATTTGAAGAAGCATTATGAAATATTATAAACACTCAAAAAACTATGCAGAACACATAATAAATACTCAAGTATCTACCACCGAGCATTGTCAAACTCTTGACTTCAGCCACACTTACTGCAGCTTTTACTCTAGCAATGTCAACAGTGTAAAACCTGATGTGTCCTGAGGGCCACCCTGGCACCCCGACCTCCTCCCCTTTTGCCTTACTGAGAGCAGGGCTGGGGAACCTTTCTCCTGCCAGGAGTCACACAAAATTACCAACCTAAAAATGGGTCCACTATGGATTTATTGAATTTGGAGTTGTCCTAGGCAGGGCCAGACCAAATGATGAAGTGGGGCCTAGAGTGACCACAGCTCCGAGTCTAGTATTTACAGTTTGCATGCTTTCATTACAAAGTTTAAACCCGTAAGCAAAAGATGGTAGTTTCACAGGTGCAAACCTCCCCTACATCTTATGACAACCGATGCACTGCTCTGAGGCTGGCTTCTCAGACAGCACACCTGTGAGATCCACCCAGTTGGTCTGGCCCACTTTTAACTGTGACATGTCCTTCTCCATGTGAAGATGTCACAACCTAGCTCTCCACTCCCCCACGCTGGGCATTAGCAAGCAAATCGTGATGACCCAGGGCCCTGGCTGCACAACTGCAGGAGCTGCTCCGGGGGGGTAAGGGGTGCTGCTGCTCCGAAGGCACAATCTCCAACGTGCACTTCTGGCTGTGGGGCAGGTGCTTCCCACTGCTCCCACTGGTAGATGCTCGCTGGTCTGACGGCTGTGCAATGCTGCCTTACTGCTGTCTCCTCCTCTGCTTTTCCCTGGTTACGAAAGCCATCAGACATATCTGTCCAGGCTTCCAGTCCACTTGGGGTTTCTGTTCTACAGGGTGACACGCTTTTCAAAACTATGAGTGAAGTTCCCTGCTGTGTTTCTTAAAACCCGGCGAGAGCCACCCACCAACCAACCCTTTCTTAACCTGGCTGGGGTCCTGGGTGACAGTCACCACCTGAGCTGCTCGTGAAGCGTGGTTCCCCCCCCCCCCAACACGGTCCATTTCCAATGATTATGGCTTGCTCATCATTTATACTGCTACCTGCTAATCTACTGTCTACATTTATCAACAATTAGTCATGATATTGATTGATGCGGGTCATTTTTCAAAAACTGAAAAAAAAGTTTCATGGAAAATATCAGAGTGTATTACATGGGTATTTACTATGCAAAAATTTTATTTTAAGCATAAATGTGTGTGGGTGCATGCACATGACTTAGGATGCAAAGGTTTTTCTAACTCTGCTACAGTCGGGAAATCTGGGAAACTACCCTCCAAGTGAGCCTGCGGGTCACTCCTCTCTCTCCCCCAGCTGTCCTGCAGGATACTGCCACAACAATCTGACTAAGCCATTGTTTGGTTACTTCCTTGCTCAAGCCTCCACTTTTCAAAAGCCTAGGCTTAGCTTCACCCCTTAGCGCACCCCTGGGAGCAGCACACAGCGTGGCCCTGGGCCAGCATGCCAGTTCTCACCACCGAACCACTGCCCATGACACCGACACCCAACTACACCGGCCTGCCGCGTATCTACACCGACGCCCGCGCTGTGCTCTTCCCTGCATACCTGCCCCATGCCACTCTTCTGCCCTGCAGCCCTTTCTTATTCCCCTACAGAAACAGCACATTCTTGCCAAGTCCAGGTTTAATTAAAACAGGAAGAGGCATATCGCCTACTCACACTCTCTCCCGATGATGCCACCGCTGATATTATCCATGTTTGATTTTTCTCTTTTTGGTCCTCAGCACTTTGCTGGACACTGGCTCAAGGTGGGGAACAACTCCCCTGGCCTTTTCAATGTCCCTGACAGCATCGATTTTGTGCATTACAGATGTTCAATGAGCATTTAATGGAAATGTATTTGTTGCACATGATCCATATGCATCACACCACAAGTTTGTCAAGAGTTCTGTTGGATGAATTAGTCATGAAAATAATAGGCTTGGGCAAAACAACTCTAATGGCTTCACTGGCAAATTTAAAGACTAGCTCAGCAGATCTGTTTCAAGACTACAGCAAGTGGAGGAACACCTTTTGTCTAGGCAGCCATGAGAATCAGACCCCTCCCCTCTCATAAGCAGCACTTGAAATGAGAGGCGGCCAGTTTCTCACACCGAGGCAGCAGAGGGGGGCTGCGGTCCGGGATCCCCACTCTCTCTAGAGCTAGGTCCATCCACAGTCACGGAGCACGAGGCTGGTGAGGCTGCCCTGGGCATCAGGCCCCACTGTGGTGAGCAACTGAGACGGCTACCAACACCCCGAAGCCTGCAGGCTTCTGCGACAACTTCACCCGTGAAAGCCGACAACCTCCTGGGACTAAGGCTATGTGGTAATATCCACGCATCCTGGCAAAGGAGAGACCTTCCTTTGGGATCCAATCACTTTGGGAATAGTCCTCCATTTTCCAAATACTCAAGGGGACCCTCAGGGATGCGGGGATTTTGATTGTAGTTCTGCCAAGCATCTGGTGAGAAAATTCCAGCAAAGGGCAAGTGCAAGGATGAAATCAGACACTGGGTGGACAAATTCACTTCGGAAAGTTATCTCTGGGAGTGGATGTCTGGCCTTGAATTGAAATGCCCACATCTCCCAAGGGGATGGCTCTAGCCCCCCACCAGTGCAGACCCCAGGAAGCGGTGGAGGACACGAGAGTGAACCAGCAGGTGGGAATTCTGTGAGTCAGACAGAAAACACAACAGACAAAGCACACTGCAGATGTGGGACAGCAAACGGTAACCAAGGTGGGTGGGAGAGAGGGGACAGAGGGAACCCGCCTAGAACAAGTTTGCAACAAAGCACGGCTTAAGGTTTGAAACGAAACGTGATTTTAATGGTTCTGTCTGACCCAGAAGCTCATCCTCTGTTTCACTCATTGCATTCAACAGTCACCTGTCAGTCATGTGTTAACCTGGATGACGGTATGTGCACATTAACAGGAAGTTGTATTTCTCGCTCTCATGCAGCCCGTGAGAGAAGCGCTTCTGCCACCCGAGAACATGCGAGTGCTGTGGGGGAAGCTCTAAGGCTGCAAGAATAATCCAGCACAGCAGCGGACAAGGGACAACAAGGAACCTGGCTCAGAAGCCTACTTCCATGGGCACTTCATCCCAGGAAGCAGCTTGCAGATTCCCCATGTTTTACCTTACAAGCTTCCCTGAGCTGAGGCAAGTCATCAATGAAGGGAAAGAGTCTTCATTCCTAGTCTGGTGAATAGCAACCCTAAGGCCGCTAGGCCACAGGCTGAGAAGGTGACAGTCCTCATTCCCAACGAGTTCCAGACAAGCAAAGGATGAAGGACAGAGGGAGGGGCTCCTCAGTTCAGCTTGGCAGAGTGGGGTGGCAGGTTTTTGGAAGTGAAGGATGGCCTGAAGGACGAGTAAAGGCTGGCCCCAAATAAGGGGCCGCAGCATCACAGGAGTGGGAATGAAGAGGCCAGCCAGTTCCAGGAGGGCGTAGAAGCCACAGGGTGAGGATGTGGGGTAGGTGGGAAGGCAGAGCTCAGGGGCCAACCTGCAGGCAGCCATCCTCAAGAGGCAGGCAAGGAAGTTCAGCAAGGTCTGTGTGCAGACAGACCCTATTTGCTTCACAGCTGGCCTGGGTGGCCAAGGGTCAAGCTGGGCTCTCAGTGCACATGAGATGGGGAAGACAAATCAAGGAGAGGCCAGGTGTCTGAGTAGGCCGGCCTGTGAGTGACCAGAACCCAAATGCAGACCCCACCTCCCAGTCCAGTTTATCTGCATTGTTCATGTGCACTGGGGATGGCAAGTTTCCCTCCAACCCATTTTTTTTTTTTTTTTTTTTTTTTTTTTTTTACTTTTATTAGAAAGTCAGATATACAGAGAGGAGAAGAGAGGAAGATTCTCCATCTGATGATTCACTCCCCAAGTGACTGTAATGGCCAGAGTTGCGCTGATCCTCAACTGCTTTCCCAGGCTTCAAGCAGGGAGCTGCATGGGAACTGGGGCCACCGGGATTCGAACCAGTGCCCACATGGGTCCTGGTGTGAGGACTTTAGCCGCTAGGCCACATCGCTGGGCCCCTTCCACTATACTTTTTCTCTAAGATCATCAACAGAACGCTTCAATACCTAGAGACAGCTGTGGGAGATAAAGCCACTCTGCTTAATTCCACCCGATCCTCTATTATAATAAAGACAGAAAAGACAAGGAAAGGAGGGAGAGAGAGGTACTGGGTGTGAGGCCAAAGACTGAATCAGCGACCTCAATGTCAAGTGCTGTCTTCCTAGTTGGTCACAGCACTGAGTGGCCCGGCTCCAAGGTGGGTGGGTGGACGGTTCAGGAAGGCGGAAGGTACCCACTAAATAAATAGGGGGTGGTGGGCTTCCTGTGCAGAAAAAGCAGGGAGTCAAGGCCTCTCAGTCTTGATGCAAAGACTGTCCAAAGGGCATCAACACTGGGCATTCCTCACTGTGGCATTTTGAAAGCCCAGCCTGGCACAGAACAATGGTTACCCTCTGGAGACCAGGGGCCGCGTGCCCCTAGGCCCTATTGAGTGAGGAGTGGCACAGCCCATGCACTTGGTGAACTTGACCTTGGGCTTCAGCCTCCCATGGCGGTTCTACGTCACTCTGATCTCTTTCCCCACACCCAAGTCCAGTCCGGGATGAATGGCAGGATTCATACTGGGAGCGAGAAAACCATGCCGGGAGTGAATCAGATAGGCCCTGGCACTGGTGCCCTTGCCAGCGATTGAGCTGAGAACTGAGTGCAATTGTGCATCCGGCGCCGGTGCTGTTCCCCTCTCGGGACGACAGGTCAGGGTCCACGCAAGAGATGACGCGCGGGGAGGCCACCAACAAGAACCAGGATCTCTGCCTTGAGAGACAATGCTGCCCTTTGGGGTGTGACCCCCTGCCCAAGAGGTACCAGGACGTGCACAGGCTGGCCAATTCACCCTACTCAGCGCACACATCGTCGGCTGCTGCAGCCTTCAGCCCTCTCCCACCCCACAGGCTTTAGGAAATGGGCTACTAGCTTGTTTTCTCCAGAAACTTCCTCCAAGACAGGTGGTAGTCGTTGGCCTTGGTGTTCTCCACTCTCCTCCCCTCGTGAGTCCTGAAAGATGGGATTCAGCTTTGCAAACTAGCAACACCAAGCCAGCAACACCACCTGTTTTCTCTTGTGTGTGGTGGTGTGTGGGGGTGGGGTGTGGTGCTGTGTGAACTTGTTTTGTTACTTTGAAAACTCCAGCTCCAGGTTTTCAAGGGAGTCATTTCTTTAAGACAGGGAACTGAAGAAGTGCAACTGCCTGTTGGGCATTGGGTTGTAATGAGATAGGAAAGTTCACTTTTTCAAAGGCTCCAGCTCCTACTGGCCTCCTGGAGCAAAGAAGCAGAGCCAGAAGGAGCAGCTCCCGCCGGGCCTTATGAAGGTCCCTGCTCTGGGGCTATCCTCCGCGAGCCGGTCACAATGGTGGGACATGTGTCAGTCCAGTCGAGTTCTGGAAGCAGGGAGGGGAGGGGAAAGGTGCTGGGTTTCCGTTGGGTTTACATTTGAAAGTGTGTCCTCTGATGCTAATTGTCGTCAGGTGCTCAAGGTGAGCCAGCTGCATCTCTGATGAGGCTCCAGGGGCAACAGGTGGACCTGAGGACTATTTTGCGCCCTGTTTGCCTGATGGCTTACTGTGGGATAACTTGGCATTACCAGTCTGCACTCTGGGGATGCAGTGGCCAACAGGTCCCCACACCCTAAAAGGGGCCAGGGTTCCCCCACCTACACTTCTGAGGCTCAACAGACGTAGGCAAGTGCAACACAGTCGCATCTCTCAAGTCTGGGGTCGTGCACACACGCTTGCTGGAACCCTGACATGAATGGCTGCCGAGGAAGCCCTAGGAAGGCGGACAAGCCTCCCCCACACCCCTTTTCTCTTGCAAATCTCACAGCACCCCCACAGGGGCTGGATACACGCCTTCTACACACAAACACAAACACTGAGACGCATTGTCAAGCGTTTGCTATGAGTCAGGCAGCGCGCGGTGCTGCAGTTCTAACTCTGCTCCCATCCTTGGGAAAGTTTCCACGGACATCTCGGGCTTCACTAATCCCTATTTCATCCGAGGGCAAATGAGTCCCAGGCCACACCGGGTGGGCAGGTGCGGCATGGAATTTTCTGGTCCCCTAGCCAAAGAGGCCACACAGCAGTTACGAGAAAGCGAGGGGGTTCTCTCCCCGGTGACCCTGGCACGGAAAGGCCAGCACAGAGCCCTGAGCGGGTAGGGGTTGTCCCAGCGCGGCGGAGGGAAGTAAGACCCCCAACCCCTCCACCCCGACGACAGCGTAAAACAACAACGTCGAGTCCCCTCCCTAGAGGGGCTGAGAAGAAACGGGGTTCAGGTCATTGGAAAAGTTAGGAAACACAAGTCCGACGCGAGGGAACCCTCTGACCCATCACCTCCCAGAAACCCCGCGGAGAGAGACGCCGGTGGAAAGAACTTTCGACCACCCTCCCTCCGTGCCCCCTCTACTCCTACCCAAGACGGAGGGCCGGCGCGGGAAGACAAGGGGCCCGGGGGAACGGGCCTCGGAAGGGGTCGGGCGTACGCTCAGAAGGTCCACAGTGAAGGGGCCTCCCTCACTCACCAGCTCATGGTTTCCGAACCTGGGCCGGCCGCAGGGGTCCTCCGCCACAACCCGGTCCTCTGGGATCACTTCCGGATTCAGCCAGTCTCCAGGAAGTGACGCGCGCCCGCCCCCTCCGCCCGGAAGAGGCGGGACCCGGCGCTTTTAACGCGTTCGCTACCGTCTCACCTGCGCTTGTGTCTTGCTCTTGCTGGCCACCCTCATCTGCTGGCTCGCAGTGGTGGAGCTGGCCTCGCGGAGACCTTAACCGTCTCATCGCCCCAGTGTGTGTGTGTGTGTGTGTGTGTGTGTGTGTGTGTGTGTGTGTGTGCACACTGCACCCGCGCAGGCACTACTTGTAGCAATCAATGGAATCCTTGCCCTCTCCCGTCCAAAGTGCTCAGGGCTCTGGGTAGTTCAGGTGAAGTAGCTGAATCTGGTAGCTCCCCCGCCCCCTATCTCCCTCTGCCCATTCTTTCCGTTCCTGCATGTCCCTGATGTTTAGGGGTGTTCCTACAAGGCTCTTGATGCACTGGAGAAGCATGCAAGAAGCGTGAGTCTCCAGCCCTTGAACCCTCACAGAGCTGCTGTTCTGCAAAGGAGACGTTAAAAACCAGTCAATAGGAATGGTAATAGTAATAGGTGAGGCCGACGTGGTGGTATAGTGGGTGAAGCCCCTGCCTCTGGTGTGGGCATCCCATATAGGCACAGATTCGGGTCCGGCTGCTCCACTTCCAACCCAACTCGCTGCTTATGGCCTGGGGAAACAGCAGAGAATGGCTCAAGTCCTTCTTCAGGGGACCTCAGGTGCCTGAGGGCAGATGGGGGGTTAGCTCAACCAATGATCCTCCATCATTGATTTCTTCTGATCTGGCATGGCTAGGAGGACAGCTCTAGTGGACACAGAAAGTTGTCCCTCTCCTGTCCTGTGTTTCCTTGCTCGAGGCTCTATAGCTGGCTTGATTCAGCAGGGTCAGTGGTGGTCGCAGGGTGGGGTCTGACTCCCTAAGTGCATTACGCAAGTCACTGCGTTATTCCTCAAGTCCACACAAGAGCAGCTTTGAACAGGAAAGCAGAGATGTCGCCTGGGCAGAGGACAGAGGCAGGAAGGGACGAGACAGCCCTTGCTGCTTTGTGGAGGGTGTGATGGGTGGAAGAGGAGCTGTGTGTGTGTGTGTGTATGTCTCCTGGCATCCTGGCACTTCTGTGTAGCTCTCCCACCTATTCCTTGATTGCCCCACAGTGAGCATTAATATCTCCAAAAGCATTAGCCTGGGCCCCCGCTGTCATCTAGGGGAAGTGTTTTTCAGGGCTATAGGATGAGAATGGGTGAGGCCCCTAGTTTCATTCCTGTCCTATAAGTCACGGACCTCTGAAACTTGGTCCTGTCCTCTGTAAGATGAGTGATGGAGAACGACCCTAAAGTCTTCAGCATGTCTGGGGTCTGAGTCAATGGTTCTTGCTGACTTAGTACAAGTTCCTAAGATAGAGGATCCTGGAGAACTGAACCCCTGGGCCAGGACACACCTCCCTGTGGCATGCCGGAAATCAGTCCACAGGCAGGAAAGTGTAATACAGGCTGACCCTTCCCTGCAGGAAGGGAACAGAGCAGTGGGATCTGGGGATGGTGGGCGCTTTTGAGCCTGGCAAATATTGCCGCTCTCCAACAGGCTGAGCCTGGAGTGATGCGTGTTCAGGAAAACAGAGGTCTAACGTGGGGCATAGGGTTGTTTTCCAGAAGGAAAGCTACAGAAAACCCAGCCTTGTCCTCAGTCCCCTGGCCTCTCCCAGGTGCTGTTTACAGTGATGAGTCAGCAGGTGCTTCCCCACTGTCCCTGTGTGAGGCTCATCCCATCGCACAAAGATGACTTGGGTTGGGATTCTCAAGTGATTGGGCCATCTCAGGCTGCTTTCCCAGGTGCATTAGCAGGGAGCTGGGTGGGAAGCAGAGCGACAGGGGCTTGAACTGGTGCTCATGGGATGAGGTGGTAGCTTAACCTGTTGTGTCACAAAACCAGTCCTTTGGCCCTGCGTTTTCTGTGCAGTTTCATGGTCCTGATGCCTCTTGCTCTGCACCTGCTCAGTAGGTGTCCCCTAGGCAGCCAAGGCCAAGGACATGGGGTAGACCAGAGGATCAGGGGAAGCAGCAGCAGGGGTAGAAGACAGGAAATCAAGAGTCTCACACTGATTGCCCAAAAGTCAGGGTGAGGTGACACATCGAAACCCAGTAGCAGGAAGCAGTCAGGACTGGGAATACTTGTCTCGATCTAGGAGTGTCCTTCCTACTGCAGATCTCATCTTCTTTGATTGCAATGGCAAGCGTCCTGGATATATCCGGGAGGGCACATGAATGTGCCACCTTGCGCCAGCTGTGCCACCTTGGACTACTTGTCACTGGCTGCCAGGAGCATCATGTTGGACAGTCTGGATTACTGTTGGAGTTCTGCGATTAACTAGAAATGTCTGCCATGACCCAGTTATCTGATTGTGTATGTTTCACCTTATTGTTTTGTTATCAGAGTTTTTGTGATGAATTATTTATACAGCACCCACGACACACCAAGCACTATCCTAACCAGTTCATGTTTAGTCCCTGTAATAACCCTGTAAGATAGTACTATCATCATTACTGCCAGTTCAGAGTTTTCACCATTAGGGCATAGCACCTCTCTTCCACAGCTCCTGAGGTTTCTGCCACCACCTCTGCCCCTGTGTCAGGGTATAAGAGGCTCAGAAACCAACAGGGGGGTGGAGACAGGAGGAGCCCCAGGATCGGGCACCCCCAGACCTCAGTGATGGTCTGTTTCCTCCAGCCTGGGGCTGTCAGGCCCGGCAGGTGGCAGCACCTGGCCTTGGCCTGGAAGTCCTCCAGGGATCAGATGGCCCAGATGGCCAGGAAAGCAGCAACAGACGAAGTTATGCAGGGAGGACAGCCATGGGATCCAGAGCAGGAGGCCCCAGCCTAAGGCCCGCACGGGGAATCACCACACCACACCAGACCACACCATACCGCACCGCACCGCACACACCATACCGCATGACTGCTGTATCCCACCCAGTGGCAGTGCCAGGAGCCTCTGAGCTTGCATTTCATGGTGCCGGCTGTGAGCTTTTTTTTTTTTCCTCCACTCTGGAAGAATGACTAACTTTAAGGACTAAAAAAAAATGTGTTTTGATTACACTGCCTTTTTACCAACTGGGAGCATTAGTCACCGTGGATGGCTGCAGATACCAGGGAGGGCAGGCAGCAGCCCCCTCCTCCCCCTCCTGCTCTCTGATTAGCTCCCGGGCCCAGAGAGGAGACTACAGTGTACCCAGGAGGCAAAGCAATCCCCCCTGGACCACGTCGTATTCCCCAGGCATCTGGCCAAGGGCTGCCTGGAGGCGGGCTGGGAGAGTGTGCCAGCTGGAGGCTGGGGAGCCCCTGATGGGTAGGCCTTGAGGTGGTCCCAGGCATACAGTGGTAGGAGGCATCCACCTCAGAGAGAGAGCATGCTAGCAGGGGGCCCACTGAGCCTATGGCTCCTACGTCAGCTTTGGGTGATCTGTTTCTCCAGGTGGGGCCGGGGTTACATGTAGGAGGTGAATGATGGGGGAAGCTCAGCATGCTGACTCTGGGCTGGCTGTGATGGCACGCTGTGCCCAGGCTCTGATCTAGGGGTAGGCAGTTGCTGGCAGGTGGGGAAGGGGTGCCCAGCTCCCTGCACTTGATCATTCTCCCATCCCCTCCATTCTCAAGGGGGATTTTGGCCTGGAGTCCTTGGCCAAAGGCACCTCTTTTGCTGCCAGTGGGGTGTGTGTGTGTGTGGCTAAGGTGCTGTAGGAGCTCTGGGTCTTGCTGGGGAAGAGGTTAGTGCACCTGAGCTGTGGGGAGAAACAATGGGCCTTGCTAGGAGTCCTGGTCTTCTGGCCTCATCCTGACTCTGAAACGGCCTTCTCTGAGCAGCCCCCTCCAAGTGGCAAAGCTGCATATATGCGTGGAAAGAATTGCAAGCACCGGGACATTTGTATGACTACAGGAAAGAAAAAGATAGGAACCTGATGTTTTAAAAAACTGTCCATGTCTCCAAAGATCAGAGAACTTTGCCCTTTGAGTGCAGCTACTGCTGCCTCTCTTGAAATCACAGCATCCACAGGCCATGTGTGTGCTCTGGCCTCAAAAGCTCCTTGCTGTTCCCTCGAAGGCCAGTGTCCTCCAGCTGAGACAACGTGCACCACCCCACCCCCTGACCCTAGTGCCAGCTGAAGCCACAGGATGTCCCAGATGAGCATAGCTCCTGGGAACTGGTCGCTTTCTCTGGGGAATCCTGGCAGGTCTGGAGCCACAACACCAGGGAGTGGGGGCAGGACTGCCCCAGCCTGACCTCACTTGAGGCTGGGCTGCTGGGTGTCTGCCCCCTGCTGCTGTGGCCGAGACAGCCCCCAGACACCGGCAGGGCAGGTGGCAATTATCCTTGGACACTGATTATACTGCAGGGCCGGCAGGGCCCCAAATAGCCCGGTAGCGTGGCCTGGCTGGCATGGGACATTGGGGGTGGGATGGGGGAAAAGGGACCAGCTGGGAAGGAAGGGGCAGGCCTGGTTGAGGGGCAGGTGGAGAGGGGGTGGTAGTTGGTGGATGAGCCAGGAAAAGACTGCAGGGCTGGAGGGTTCAAGGCTAAAGGCTCTGCTTCCTGGGCAGTAAGATAGGGGCCAGCTTCCACAGCAGCTGCCATCTCAGACTCTTGGGAAGAAGTTGGTATTCAGCATGCATGAGGCAGGAGACCTCACTGCTGGGCAGGAGGGAAAGGAGAGCCACTGAGGCCACTACCTCTGGACAGCTCAGGAGGGAACCCCCACAGACAGTGCATGATGCGGGGAAAGGGACAGGGGTGGCGCCAGGGGGTGACCAGCCCTTCTCCCAGCCTCAGCCATCTCTGATCGTGCACTGGTTTCCCTCCCCGCGCAGCGTCCTCTTCCACCAGATGTAAGCCAAGCAAACTGCTGGGGCCACAGCCTTTTAAATGGGGTCCTGTTAAGAAGACTGTCCTTGGGCCTGGCGCCGTAACCTAGCGGCTAAATCCTTGCCTTGCAACCACCAGCATCCCATAGGGGTGCTGGTT